TAAATAAATAAAATCTTTAAAAAAAATAAAAAATAAAACATTAATACTTGATTTACGAGGCTTCAAATTATACATTCCTAAGATTCCTTAATTTAGAATATAACAATGAATCATGGAACACTACATCAAAAACTAATGGTGTAATGTATGGTAATTAACATAACATAATAAAAAAAATAAAAAGAGGTAACTTGAAATATATGCCTTATCTTCTCTGCCCTCCATTTTTCTCTGGGGCTCTTATTTATTTATTCATTTATTTATTTATTTTTGATTCATATATTCATTCATGTACCCAAAATAATTTCCTCAGTTTACTTCTACCTAATAATATGTTGCTAAAATTGCACTTCATCTGAATCCTTTTGATTTTCTCCTTTTTCAGTAGAGTTTTATCATTCACTCTGCTTCTCTTTCTTACCACTTTCTCTTCAGGCTGACTCTATGTAGTATAAACACCATTATTTCAACTACAGAGTTTCTAGATTATTGACATATTTAATTCACATTTGTCAGTGATGGTTTCATCCTCAACACATTCCCTCTGCTTATAATATTTTTATTAAAATGTTACTCTTTCATTTGTTTTCCCAAGTTTTATGGCTGTAATGATCTTGCACTTTTTCTTCTCAGTTCACAGACCTTTAGGGACTGTCTCTAGAACCTGCTTTACTTATTTATTTTTTCATTGTTAGTTCATTTTCAATATATCACTATTATTGATCATCATAATTTTTTTCTACTTCTTAATATTTTTGACACTAAAGTAAAAAGATTCTGCTTAGCTTGAAGCTAAGCTTCCTTCTCCTATATTATGAATGACATCCTAAATAATTTTCAGACATTTTATTTGGCCTATATATTTTTTTCTGCTTTTGTTATCTGCTACCTATTCTTTTTTCTTCTCTTTGGTCCTCCCCTCTTTAACTTTTATTTCTTTTCCATTTCTAAATATATTCATGCTTTTCTCAAAGCCATTTCTATGTGTAATTTCCTCTAAAACTTTAGCTCATTTGAAATATTCCTGTGTCACATTAGAGTGAAATCAAGATAAACTCTATATCCCATCAAGGAATACAAAAAATAGCAGATTGTTCTTGTATTTACATTAATTACTTAAACTGCAGTCTTCACAAAGCTAAGATGAACATAAATCAATAGTAGTTGAAAATTGATACCAGTTTTTGTATAGAAATGATGTCTGAATTTATTCTTTGGTTGATAAGATTATGTTTTGTGTATGTGTGTGTTTGTGTGAGTGTGTAGATAGGTAGGTAAAGCTCATTTAAGGCTTAGAAAGTCAGAAGTATTGATTAATGGCTATGGATAAAAGTTATAATTTGGCTTTGGCAAGTATACACAAAATTAACCAATAAAGACTTTGGGCTCCCAGTTTTTTTATTTATGATGTTTACTTCTTTAATTAAAATGCATATTCCCTCAGCAAGGACATAATTCATCTTGAATTCCATAAGGTATTTCATTCATTTTTAGTACCAATAAAAATATCAACAGTAACAAAGTAATTTAAACTTGACAGATTTCTTGTTCAATCTCTGAAGTGAATTTTCACAATGTTTGGTATGTTTTCAATAGTTAGGATGAAAACTTTTGAAGAGACAGTTTTGGAAATGGAAATGTTCATGCCTTGACTATGTTGAATCAGTCACCTGATTAATTTTTGTACCACCAATTGCCTGTTAAAATGTACTTTTGAAAGATTACAGATACCTTAATGAATTTAGATTATTTAATTTCAACAACATTTTGTCCCATTTACTGTATTCTTATTTGAATTCTAGGTTTTAAGTGATATTAGAAAATCATTTTATGGCATTTGGGAACTATGGTAGCTTTCTGTGTTTCTTTTGCTTGGAAATTTGGGAAGAGAAATTGGTTATTTGTTATTTCTCCATTACTTTCCCATTTATGAAACAAGAATATCAAAAGGAAAATCTTACAAAATGTAAATATTGAGTTGTAATTTGTATAAGTACACCAGTTAAATGATAAAAGTTTATTTTGTAGATTAGTTGGAATTTGTTGCATAAAATAGTACATATGCATATGAGCCAATACATCAATAGGCTACTATTTCTTTTCAGGTACTGCATGACATATTTATATATAGTCCTATATTTGCATAAAGTAAGTTTCACTGTTTTAGAATAAACTTATAAAATAGAATATGCTCTGGAGTTCAATCTTCTAGATCTGACATAGGATAATTTTGATGTTATAATTACTTAACTTGTAATTATGATTAAAATGTTGCTTTACTTTTACATGTAATCTGTGCATAACATACTAATACAATTCAGCTATCAGCACTGTCACATGTGTTAACACTCTGTGTCTTTGGTAACCTGACAATCACCTCCAAGACATGTAACTAACCCTGGCGCGGGGCAAATAGCTCACCCAGGCACCGTGCTGCCTGCTCACTTTAGGGCACTATTTTGTTTCCATAGCAACAAATAACACAGAAAGAGTTTGGGAGTGGTTCCTAGTGTCATTCAGGAGAGTTCCTAAATAAGTTCTCTCGTCCTCACAGTATGTTGTCGTCTTGGTAATTTGAGGACTTTTAATCACTTTCATTTAAAATTTCAAATTAAGGCTATATCTGAGAACAGGTGCTAAGGTTCGAGACCTAGAGTCATACTGTGTGTTCAGAGGCCAGAAGTCATTTTGTAAGTTTGTCACTGTTGCTGAGGAAACTCAATCCTGCTTGAACTGGAGAACACCCGTAATAATGATTTCCCCTGGCTTAGCTTTTTCTTGATTTCTACAGTGTTAGGTTTGTAATAAATTTTCTTCCAAATTTATTTCACCTGGGTCATTGCCTTAGCATACACTTCAACACTGAGATACATTGTTTCCATTATTCTTAAGTAATAGGATAAACAAGCCAAAATACAAAACTTTTCACAATCTAACAGAGACATATTCTAGTGTTTGGTTTCCCATAATTCCAATTTTTACATGACTCTTTCAGAGTTGCTTTAATTCATTCTGTAGTAGTCTTTCATTGCCGACCATCACTAACCTTCCATACCTTAGGTTGGTAGCTTTTTATTTGGGCATATCATTGTTTTTCATTTATAACCATTGACTGCATCGTGTTCACCAGATATCAGTGTAGTTCTTTTCATATAAAATTCCGTCTATTAAAGTATTAAATTTGCTGTCACATTTTTCTTTTAAGCATTCTGTGCTATGTTCTGTTCAGTGTCAGTGTCTTTAGTTCTGATTTTTCAATTTTGTCCCTCTCCTTTTCCTTGACTTGTTAGTCTGATCCAACCTCTTCTACCTCATCTGATGATTATCAATATGTTATGGAAGCTAAACTACAAGAAATGATCTCCATACGTAGGAAGGTAGTCCTACTGGACTTTACTTTCTATTGCTAAATAGAATCCATCTAAGTTTTTCTTTTCATTTATAAAAATTATGTTACTTTTATTTATTGATAATCAACCATCTGTGCAGTTCAGTGCTTCAGGAGCTTAAGATTGGACAATGGCAGGTTTGTGTTCAAACCATGCACAGTCTGCATGTTACATTTGGCTGATTTCATTGCTCATAAATAAGTCCAATGTTTTGCTGATGCTTGGATGTAACAGGCCTTTGTAGCTGACACATTTCAAGCAATGCTGTTCAGCTGCCTGTTTAAAGAAAGTTTATTTTTTGAAAATTACATTTGCAGTTGGTAGTAGCTTGCTTTACATTTTATTTCAATTTATTTAGAGGAAAAGTGTTAACCAAATCTTACATGTCAGGTACATTTTTCATATTTCTCAACAGGCCGAAGAGAGACATGGAAACATTGAAGAACGTATGAGACATCTAGAAGGTCAACTTGAAGAGAAAAATCAAGAACTTCAAAGAGTATGTATATTAAGTACCGCTCCCCTCGATCATCAGTTTATGGGCATGTAAGAAATGACTGTCTTTCTTGATTATGGGTTCTATTTAAAATCTTATGAATATGCTCTCTGCATCTAAAAGGAGAAAAGTTTCTGCCAATTTAATCACACCAGACATAAAATGAAATCAGTTTTAAAGCCAGAAAAATATAAAATACTTGTGTAAATGACTTTTATGTCAAGTTTATTTATTTTGTCTTGAATGTAAGGCTAGGCAAAGAGAGAAAATGAATGAGGAGCACAACAAAAGATTATCTGATACTGTGGACAGACTTCTGACTGAATCCAATGAGCGCTTACAGCTACATTTAAAGGAGAGAATGGCTGCTCTAGAAGAGAAGGTAAAATGACAGGAGAGAAGAATCGCATGAATATTTAGCAATGTGCTCATGATCATGGTTGTTTTATACCGCTGCATTTATTGCCCTGATCAGACGATCCATGTATTTTCCTTTGGTATATATGGTTTATTCTTAGAAGTGAACAAGTAGTTCTGTAAACATGTGTAAGATAAATTTTTAAAATGACTAACAAATGCTGATTAGCATGATTGTATAGATAAATGCATTAAAATGTGTTTTGTAATGAAAATATTTTAGTTATCCTTCACCTGGTGTGCAAAAAAGAGTGATAAGACAAAAATCAATATTTTGGGGGTATGTGGGAAGTCTCCTTGCATTGAACTATTCAAATGTTTCAAGTAACTAAATCTACTACTACTCTAAAAGCCAGAATGTGAGTAAATTTATATTACCAGTAGAACTAGTGTTAATCCCAGTACAGAGTTTAGGAATGCAATAATTTCAGCTGCATTGTTTCAAAAAAAAAAAAAAGTGCTTCTTTACAGTGTGCAATATCATTCACAATTTTATATGTCTCATTGATAGTTGGCAGCCACCAGACCAGCACGAGTTATGTGAGCTGGTTGCCAATTCCAGAGTATAAACAAAGGTAGGGGCTAAAACCCAGGTAGACAAATCATTTTGGAAATTTAGATTGAATACCAATCACTACTCAAGCTAGACATTTTCCCCTGATCCATACAAAATAGGAAAAATGTTTGCATGAAATTGTTAAAGTAGGTTGATTAATTTACCCATTACAAAGTGATAAGGTGGGCCTTCTTCCCATTCAATTCCAAACGCATGGCCACTTTGCCAATTGCTACACACTTAGTTTAATTTTACTAAAATTAAGTTAGAAAAGAATACATTATTTTAAATCATGCTTTGTAGTAAATATAAAAAAAGTGTACAGCTTTTACAACAGTAATATGTTCATGACAAAATTAAAAAAATTATACCTATGATACAACTTATTTTCATATGTCATGAGATGTAACAGTTTTGTAAATAGTTAAAATTTCATTTTTATTTCTCTAATAATTTAACCATTATTAGAAATTAATTATTCTGTATTTGAAATAGAAGTCCAGAAATTAAACTTTTCAAAAATATGATCTGATAATTTTTTTTTCTTTATTTTTTTCAGGTAATAAAAATGAGTTCATCTGAATTCTTTATCTATAACACCTCTGGCTAATATTTCACTGTTACTCACTTTTTCTCATTTTAAGAGTAACTTTATTATTTCAAATTTTAAAAGACTGAGAAGAGGAAAACATAAATAGCTTAAAAGATAATATTTATTCCATTCGTCAATCCAAGTGTTGCAAAATAACATTTCCCATTTAAATTATGTATTTTTCTAAATGTTAAGGTATCATGTTTAAAGATTCTATTTAAATTTGGTTTCCACGGAAACCAAGAAATAGATGCACCAAGGAAGGAATCAAAGAGAAGGAATCAAAGAAGATTCTTGAGCAATAAAAAATTAATCTACATATTTAATTATTTTCTGTTTTGTTAATTCTTTATTTTTTTATTTTCTTTAGAATGTTTTAATTCAAGAATCAGAAACTTTCAGAAAGAATCTGGAAGAATCTTTACATGATAAGGTATAATGGAAACTTACATTTTATCCATTTTTCTATTTTACACTGATGAATGTTTGGTTGTGAAATAAATTTGATAAGAAATAAGTTTAGGATGTTATCTTTTTAAAAAATTTTAACTTTTATATCATACATACAGAAAACTGTGCATATATAGAAAGAGCTTGATGAATTTTTACAAACAAAACACACTAAAAATCAACAGTATGGTAGCCCCCTCTTGTTAACGTACAATTACTACTTTTATCCTAAATGATAATCATTGTCTTGACTTCTAACAGAAAAAAAAAATACTTTTGACTTTTTGTGCTTTATACAAATGGAATAAAAATGTATGCACTAATTTGTGTTTAGTTTGAGGTTATCATTTTGGTAGAAATGCATTAAATATCTATTATGCATAATAAATTATGCTGTGTATTTGCAAACATGATCCTAATTCCAAAGTAGCTGAAAAATGTAATTGAGAGAGAACACACCTTTGACAAAACAGCGAGTTGCAGATGCCAAGTGTCAAATGAGTGAAGTAGACAGTAAGAGCTACAGGTGGGAGAGATCACAATACATTGCTGCTATAAAGAAGGCTTCAGGAAGGTGTGAGTTGACAAAACTTTAAGGAATGGTAGGACTATGTCGCAAGCTTTTCAAATACAGTGCATGTGGCATGATTGCAGGTGCTTTGTGTGGGGAGGGGGTGAGGTAGGGAGTCTGATATCTTAAATAATAATGGGCATAACAATTTTGGCTAGAATCCGTTACTCCCATTGTAGGATATATGGTAGAAGAGGCAGGTAAGGACTAAATTATGAAATGTTAAAAGCTGTAATTGCTAATATGTCTTTTCCTCCTTCATTAGCCTGTAAATTCCTGTGAGCAATTTTGTCAGATTTCATTTTGTTTAGCATAAGCATATAATATAATATAAAATCACTAATTTAAGAAGTGACATATACATGTGTGTTGAACAAAAGAAAAAGGAGAGAGAGAGGGAGCAAAGGAGGGAAGGGAGGGAGGGACAGAGGGAAGATCTGGCAATAGTATGGCATAGGGAAAGTATTGGAAAAGATGAGAGAATAAAAATTAAAAAAAAAAAAGCAGTTGTACATTTAGCCCCACTGAATGTTAAATATTATGATGTTAATTTAAAGCTGTTTGGTCCCACAGTCAGAGTATATAAGATCTCCTGCAAGAGAGATCTGCTGTAGCAATATAATATGGTGCCTAGAAGATAGCATCTAATTCTTTCTGAAGTTGTTAAGAAAGTCTACACAGGGGAGGTGCCATTTCATCAGGCTCTTGGAGGCATATAAGATCTTACCAAATAGGGCACCTGGGTGGCTCAGTTGATTAAGCGACTGCTTTCGGCTCAGGTCATGATCCTGGAGGCCCTGGATCGAGTCCCGCATCGGGCTCCCTGCTCGGCAGGGAGCCTGCTTCTCCCTCTGACCCTC